AGCCCCTCGTTTGTTGTCCTCTTCTACCTCTCTGCCTACGGTTTACCGGGCAGTTCTATTTGACGATATATTGTCACATAACTATGAACTAAAAGAGCGCACTTTGCGAAACAAACGGCAGAAACCAAAGATTAAAAAACAAGACAAACATGAAGGGCACACTGAAACCATTCATTTTTCTCATTCTTCTTTTAACTCCCCCTTCACCGTGCCTCTCACGTACAAGGCTCGCCACGTTGATGAGTTGAGCGCGCGCTGCCCCCATCCCCGTGTACCATAACGGCCCACTTGTACGGTGTGAGAAAGAGGCAGAGTGAAGGGGGAGGGGATAAACACAGGGAGGAGAGATGCATGTGGTAACAGACTATGCATTTACATTCAAACATGTACTCACACGAGGACTTTCTTCTCCTTCCTCCTCATCTATCCAACATCCCTCTTCAAACATATCCAACATCCCTCTTCAAACATATCCAACATCCCTCTACGAACATATTCACACTTGGCAGTTTTTGGACAGAATCTGGCTGCAATTGAGTGCACGTACATCTCAGAAAATCGTAGTGTGAGTAAGCACTATAGCACACAGGTCAGTAGTTGTCGGAATCTTCTGCAGAAGGTTTGCTGCGAAAGAGTAAATTCCATTTCCATTTCTTTTCAGAGCTGATATGCCAGTCGAAATAGACATGGGAAACGAAGGGTTGCAGACTTTATTACCCCTTTGGACATTGAACGTCGATGTCCGCGGCCGCAATTTAGATGTTTTAAATTGTTTTTTCTTTAACCGCAATCGTCAGGGGTTACAGGGTTCCCACCAGCAGGGTCTGATGATTTCTGTTAAAAAACATCCACATTGTGGTCAGAGTTCGTCAGACACGTCAAAGTTAAAAGCCCAAAGGGGTATTTCTCTTATTGAATCTGTTTCTTCATCTATACGAGTCATAATGGCCACTATTATTTCTTCTTTGCGTTCTACGGTTCTACCAGTATCTGATTCATTCCCTTTTTTTTTTCCTTTTTTTTTTTTCCAAAGCAAAAAGGATGACGGCCTTGAGATATCATCTTTGAACTGACGAGTCCCAGGTAATTTTTTTTTTTTTTTTTTTTTTTTTATGTGGCCCGATGGACCACGGATCAGATATTAAACTGATCAGAACAGATACTACACTTGATCTTAGCCAAAAGGCCGAGAAAGGTAAATTCAGAGTTATTTCTACTCATCTGATTCCATTGGAATTCGAACTCAGGTCTGTACCTCAACAGTTTATGGGTATAGCAACACTTGATCTTAGCCAAAAGGCCGAGAAAGGTAAATTCAGAGTTATTTCTACTCATCTGATTCCATTGGAATTCGAACTCAGGTCTGTACCTCAACAGTTTATGGGTATAGCAACTGAGCTAGGCCCGTTGGCGCCACTGTATCATTCCTATACCGACAGGTGCGCCAAGGACGTGATTCCGTTTTTCCTTGAACAAACAAGCGCTTTCCATCAAACAGTGTCAAAGAGAAAACGTTTAAAAACTCTTCTTTCATTCTCGCAGGACGGGAAGGGAGAGTACACACAAACCTGGCAGTCCATGAGAATACAGTCAAATTGCTTTAGTGTTGCACTTGTGGCTCTTTCCCGCACTGCATCCACGGCTCTCTTCCCGTCTTCCACCCCTACTGCCTTGGCCCCAAGTCTCTGTAAAATGGTCAGCTCAAGTTTTCTTAGGAGAGCTGTGTCTTCTGCAACAAGCACCTCCATTCCTGATAGGGGCTTTCCTGTTGCAGCAGGTTTTTGCACGGCTAGCTTCATGGTCGGATCCTCAGATGGACGTGAGTCCACAGGTGCTCTCACGTTATCAGGTATCACCGTGCTGCAGCTTGCTGAGGCCTTGCTGTCCTCTGTGTGTGCGGAGGCAAGGAATGTTCCGATCCCGTCTGGTCCTTGTTCTGGTAATGGCATGGGTTCAGGCTGTCGCTGTGACCTTGTCACGCAGTCGGAGTCAACCTGCTCTACTCCCGGAAGTCCACATGCTGAATGTAATCCACTGCTCGCTTGGGTTTCAGGGCTGAAGCACGATTCATAACTTGAGCCCGATCCAGGACTCACGTGTGTCGTAAGGCTTGGTTGAGATCCGTGATTCGACTTTGTTCCAGAACGTACGGGAGACCCGTCACGGCGTGCCACCATCTTTCCATCGCCTGCCTCGTCATATTCATCGGATGCAGAATGACTAACTGTGGCCTTTCCATAGGTATCCTGTTCTGGACAAGGAGTGTTGCTTATGCTGCCAGGATGCTGTTCCTCTGCTATGCGGCCTATTGTTCCCTCCGTCAGAGTCACAGCAGGAACCTCTACCCTCAGAATGGACGCTCTTTCTCCTTCCATTTTCTCCATGCCCAACCTGGTCCCTGTGACTTGATTGTTGTCTGAGTCGGTCCGCTGCAAGGCAGAAGTCTGCTCCACACCGAGTTGAGCAGTTGCTTTTCCCAGGATAAGGTCTGACGAGCCCATATGCCAGGTTTTGTCCCCGTTGACGCAAGCTGCCTCCACAGACTGGCGAACGAGAATTCTGCCTGGTGTTGGATCAGGCTGAGCGAACACATTTCTCGTTTGCATTCCAGTTTCACTCCCAGTGAGTGCTCTTGGATCTGTGTCCTTAGACTTGCCACTCTTCCATCCTCCTCCCTCCTTTCTACCAGGTATTACAAAAGCCTGTCTTGGTTTTTCCAACCCCCCAGTGAAGATTGATTTCTTGTCCCGGGTGTTGTGTGGGTTCTGGTCACGATACACGTCTGCACCCTCAGGGTTGGGCGAATCGAACACGTCATTTTCCAGACCTTGGACGAGGGACTGGCAATCAACCAGCGCTGTTTCATTTGGACTCACATTACTATTCACAGCAGTACACAAACTACCTGCAGGCTGTGCACATACACTGCCCCCATCTGGCCTCTGTTTTATTGGATCTGTGTCTGAAGTGCCCTCAACAGGTCTTGTCAGTGACAGCGATCTCACTGTCGAAAGAATTGACGTCCCAATTGCAGAACGTGCAGTTTCTTCTCTGCTGTCTTTGGTGGCCTCTGAGGGTGCTGATAACAGTGGGATAAGCCTTTTCCAGCCATGATCCCTCTTGCTGCCACTTTCATCACTGATCATTCTGACCTCGCTCTTTTGACAGGGAGAGCTGCCACCTGACTGGTATGTCGCTGTGTTCCAGCCCCATCCCCGCGAACCACTGGCTGTTCCCAGGGGGCTGATTGGACATGGGAAACGAAGCGGACTAAGTTCTTCAGACCAGGTTAGAGTCCTTGGTGGCATTGAGGAGGACATGCTACTAGGTCTAAGGCCACTTTCACCAGGACGGGGAGGATCTCTCTGTTGTTTATCCTCCTGCAGGGACGACAGATAGATGTGATCTTGCGTGCCCCCAGGATCAACGTTTGGGTTGGCAGGCATCATCAGAACGCCATCTTCGGTGCTGTTTGATGCCACGTCACCAACGTCATCATTGCTTATGTTGTTTCCCTGCAACATAACATCTACCACAGGCGATTCTATATTTGCCGCCATCTCCAGAATCTCCAGCATGCGGCTGGGATGGAAGGGCTTGTTTATGATGCGAGACCTTACGGGAAACTCTAGCTCTCTGCTTGTCGCCCACTTGCCGAGCTTTCGAAGCTTCCACCGAAGTTCCGACCTTGCTGTTACGGGGATGAGCCAGACCAGACAAACTGACTGGCTGGAGGACTGCACTGATCCGGAATCAGACTCCTCGTTCCCGGAGGGACAAACTTCTTCCACATCTTCCTCCCCTGTCTGGTTCCAAACACTGGAGAAGTCGACGTTCTCTTTGTTGCCCTCCACTGGCCCATCGGAATTTTCACAACGCTCCCCGGTCTCAGCGGATCCTTTCCCAGTTTCCAAATCATCTCCTCCATGAGGAATAAGTGCATAGCTATTTCTGCTTATGCCAAAAACAGCAATTTCCGTACGAGGGGTGACGTCCAAGACACGTATGATACACTCTTTGCCTCCAACCTTTTCTTCTTCCGAAGTTGTTATAGTTGTAGTGTCCCCTTGGCCCATCTCTTGGTTGATTTTTTTCTCAATCGGCAGCGTGGATATAGAATACGAGTTCCTCAGCCGACTGACACTTGCAGCATCATCCTTGCCCAATAGTCTACCTTGTGCTGCCTGTGCACTCAACAACTTAATGAACTCCTTCAAATCCTCTACCTGGAAGTCCTCGGTGTTCGGGACGAGGTTGATATCGACAATTATGAATATCTGCTTGGCTTGCTGCTTCTGCTCAGTGTTCTGGTTAGTGGTGTGATCGGTGGGATGACAATCAGATATTCCGCAGCTTGCACAGCCGCAGGAATTAGCATCAAGCTGAGTGCAGCAAGTAGTTGAGGGCGCCATGATGTCATTTATGCTCGCTGGAATCACCCTGCCTCCTTCACTAGATGTGGCACCAGCGTCTGCAACTTTTCGCTTGCCTTTCTTTTGTCCATCGCGCCCTGATGCCAGATCCAACAGAGTTTCCCATGTGTTGATCAGGTCCACCTTAACCTGGTTTCGAGTCATCCAGGAGAGTGTAGACCTCCGCACAAGCGAGTCAGGGATGACAAGAATCATTCGAGTGTTCTTGAGGGAACTGGTGCTTCTTGCAGCCATGAGTCTCGTTGTGAATTCGTGCATATTGCTACAGCCGGAGGAATCACATGGGTCACCGGCCAGCTGGACAGTGAACCTGAAAAGTGCACCAGTGCCCAACTTCTCTTTCACAGCAATCGAGCCTCCCATTCTTCGAGCCTTTCTTCCAAGACATCAACACAAAAGCAAGCAACTGTGTCATCTCGTCTGCAAATCCGAGCCCCACAATCCAGTGAAGCCGAGTGGACAAGTGGGGGCCTCGCCACAGTCCACTCCACTCCTGAGCAAGGGACCGAACCCACTGGTGCAATGTTGGTGCCAATTTAGCAGGGATTGATGCTCAAGGAGATGTGGCTGTGCCTCTACCAAAAGAAAAAAGAAAAAAACACAAAAGTTGATTTGGCCTCGACGACATTCAATCACCAAATAGGTTCAAATTACTTCACAACAGAAACCTAGTAAACACTAACATGGCAACGCACGAGAACGGAGCAGACGCACACAGACTTGGACTCAGCATTCATCAGACATACACACACACACACACAGAGATCACCAGAACACTCAGAAACCTCAGCAAATTAGATCAAATGACACTGACCCTTTCAGAAAAATGTGAATTTCGCAGCTTCTCATACGGCAACTGTGCGGGTCATTGCAGTCTGTTGTCATGTAGTGTCTGTGGGCGACTCCAAGAGCAGGTGCTGTGAGTGAGATTTCTTTTTGTTTTCCAGGTCCTTATGGTCCTGGCTTCATATCCATTCTGGGGAGCGTCAGTCCCGTTCCTATTCCCCCGGCAAGTCAAAGTAGCCGTATCACATCATATACCCACTCACGCATCCTTCCGTCTGGTCGAAGGACCCCTGGTAAACATTGATTACCCCACTTGGTGGAGGATTGACTGCCAGCTTGCCTTTCCTGGGATTCCTCTCAGAGTCTTCATCAGAGACCCTGTCAGATAACCTTAAACCACCAGTACCTTTGTCGGTTCGAAAATACTCGGCCTCCAACCTTTCAGGAGGCCGAAACAAAATGACGGCCGCCGATCAGATTGATCAACGTCGAGCTCAGCCTCCTGAAAGTTCGGGTACTGGCCAGGACTTGTCGAAACCGGACGCCAAAGGTACTAGTGGTTAAGGCTTAAACGCAAGAAACGCAGAGAGAATAGCTGCTGTAACTCTTGAGTGCCGTGACTGAGTTGTTAGGAAGTGTACTCATGCTCATATGTCAGTGCTATGCAGCACTGAAGTCCTAAGGCTGTGGGAGGTGGATGCCCCGTGCTCTCTGCAGCGGACAGGAATTGTGCCAGTCATTCCACCTGAGGTGAAGTCCTTGACGGAACATCACCTTTCCATTGACCAACCATACTTTTGTGAATTTTGCCAGAATCTCTTGCCGCTTCTCCTGATTCTCCTCAACTTGAATCCTGACTTTCTTCCATTGGGAGAAGACTTCAGTCTCGATTAAGGATTTGGTCGTTGCTCATACCTTCTCATATGGATTCAATTTGCTGGAGTTGTCCGATGTCCTGCTGCATCTTTCCTTCCATATGACTCAGAGTGTCACCTTTCGGATCATGCCAAACCAGATGCGCTCCAACTTGTTAAAGTTAGTAGGAACGTTTGCCGGTAAGTGCGAAGTGTGGTAGGTACTACGAGCCCTCTGCCCCATTTGAAAAGAGATTCGAATGGTTCACCGGTTCCACCGTATGCTCTCTGGGTTGAATTGAGTACGCAGTGCGCTTCTGATGCTGTTGCCACTTCGTGGCCTGGTTTCCTCAATGTTCTGGCACATACGATTTTCAACGTCGCTGTACGAGGGAAGACGTTGTGCGATCTTGTAGCGGATCGGCCTTGCCGAACACGTTCGGGCAATTATCCCACCAGCATCTCACGTTCACGAGTATTCCGTTCAGCTGCGTATCAGAGACACGGTCGGGGTTCAACCAAGGGCTGGCTATTCCCAGTGATCCTCTTTCACAACGAGCTTGAGTCTTCGCAGCGAGTTCTTCACTACGAGTATCTTCAACGGCGTTCATAGGAGTAGTTGGATTGGGTGTTCGGGGAAGGAAGAAGAAAACAGGTAGTTCCAGAAAGCAGATGCTCTGGCCCAGTAGTCAGTAGCTTCCTTGCATGTGCTCAGGCAGTGTGTAATGTTTTCCGGTTCATTGTCTGAGCACACTAGACAGAGATCTGATATGTAGCCAGCTGTTCACAGGTAGTGCAGTGTAGGCAATAAGCCACTGCAGGCTTCTTATTTTGACCGGGCAACGGACGTGTTGATTTATATTTCAGCCAAGGTACTTTGGATATTTGTTCTGCTTCTTGGCCCAGTATTTTGTTCCACCTCACTTTGATCACCGGATCTGGGTCTTTCGTCTTTAGCAGCATTCTATAGCGCATTTTGACTGTGTATTGTGTGATCTGAATGGGAGTTTTGTACGGTCTGTTGTTGCCGGAAGACCATGCCCACTCATGTGGGTCAAACCCTAATTCTTGGATTGCTGTTTCGATTTGAAAGATTACCTTTGGCCACCTGCCTAATACTCTTATTTTTCGAAGAGTGAATGAGCAGGATTGACCGTTGTGGGTCGGTGTTGTAGATAGAGGGAGATTTGGGATTGGTCAGGTCTATCGGGAATGAGGTGAATATCCCCGAAAGGTCTGACCCCGGAGATCTGTGGGAGAATCGATATGCCTTTTCAGGCGTCGCCTCCTGTATCACTACGCCCCACTCGCCCGGTTTCCAGGAGAAGTCCTCTTTGAGTAAGTCCTTCGATACATCCGCGATACTATTAATCATTGTTTGAAGGTTTTCATTTTTGCGATGGCAACCCTTCAGGAGTGATTTGATCGTTTCCTCGTCGATCCAGTCCTGTTTGTCATCATCCCATATGTAACTGACCCTCCATACTCCGTGCTTGATCCATGAGAGCCATCGCTGGCCGCTTCCGTTGCCGACAGCTTGGACACCAGCAAACAAACTGCCTCAACGCCAGCCAGTTCACTTGCCACGTGAACAAACCTGCGACATCCACTTCTTCGGCCGCCGCGGGATTCGACCCCTCCTCAACGTGAACTTTGTACCCTTGATCATGGAGTGCACATAATTCCACCGGTCGACCCCCAGGCGTTGCAGTCTACTCCGCCTGCCCCCCTCCCGGTGACGTCCCCTACCCAGCCGAACGAGATCATCACCACCTCGTGCTCTTCCACCCTCCTCGCCAACCCTTCCTCCGTCTCCTTTTCCGATGTGGCTGTCTTCTGCTGTCGAGTTATACTCTGGAAGAGCTATAACTTCTGGCAAGGACCTCCTCTCATCATATCTGGTTCAGCTCGTGGGGTATCAATATCAAATGACACACTCCACGAAGTGCTCCAGCCACGGGGGGGTCGGATAAGTGACCTTGCTTACTTGACCCCTCCCCGTGGATGCCATAGTTGCCTGAATATGTCAATAATAACCCCCTGCCCCCCTCTGGAAGCCCCCTGAAAAATATTGCACCTTGAAAATTTTATTGCGGATTCCGACAGCTCTTGAAGAGCGCAGTCGGAATCTGCCCCCCCCCCCAAAAAAAAGAAGATATTTGGGCACTTTTTTTTCAAAACTGGTTTCCCGGTTCACCCCCCCTACGCTGGTCCGGCTCCAGTTGGACCGGGGTAGCTCAACCGGCCGGTTGCCGTCCCAGCACTGGTTTGCACTCATGTTACATCCTGACATTGGATGGAGCTAAGTAGAGTACATCTGAAGCTTGTCTTTTCTTTCCAGTCGCTCAGGGACTGGATTAGAAATATCATCTCCACGGTCTCTCTCTTCGGGAGGAAAGGCTCCTTCCTATTTATTAGGAAGCGGGTGCAGTTGCCGGCCTACCGTGTGGCATGTGTACCCAGTTGGACCATAGGAAGTGGTAGGGTTGTCAGCCTTCTGAGGGCATGTGTACCCAGTGGGACCCTACCTCCATAAAGGAGAATCGTGAGACCTTGATGCTACCAATCCTAGTGCAGCTTGAGTGATTCCCTTTAACATTGGAAAGGGAGATAACCTAGGATGTGCTATTCAGCTTCAAGTGGATCTTGGTTGTGATATTCTGCAAAAGCTGACACTAAGCCCATCGCTTGGATTACAACCTTCTACTCCCTCAACTCCCTAATGCTTCAACTCTCTCAATTTTTTGTTTTTGGTCTATCTGATGAATCCCGATCTTCGTTAGGTTACGTAGGAGTGGATCTCATGTTTGGCCTATAAACACTCAAACTATACATCAAATCTCATCTGTTTTCACTGGGACTCTCTAGTCCAAACGAATTGCTGCTCCAGCGAGTTCTACCTTCCTTTTCTTCTGCTCTGTTTTGTTCAGTCCTTCTCTCGAGTTTGGATAGTTGCCAGATGAAATGCATAAGCAAAAGAGAGAAAGAGAGAAGAGGGAGTGAAAGAGTTCACGTCTGAGGATCTCATCTGGACCCCTAGATTCGGAGAGCTGTAGCTCCAACCGCAGGACCAACATGGCGAGATGACCTCTAAGCAGCTGCGTACCCTCCTAGGCAACTTTCCCGAGGAAGAGAAGGGGCTGTATAGCCAACTCTTAAAGCTGCAAGAGGAAGCGGAGAACGACAGTGAGGCGCAAAGAAGGAAGGACACCATTGCACGATAGGTGAATGTACTATTGGGACCCCTAACGTAGGACAATAGTAATGACGTAAAAAGTGAATTAGTCTCTTACATCCGGGCCTTAGCAGATCTTATTCTTGTTGACGGAACTGCTACCGACTTGGTCAAGGTTCTTGATGCCATAAAAGACCGGAGGAAATAAGTCTTGGATCTGCGCAAGGAGATTAAAGACTTGAGCAAAGATCATGTTCTCAATCCCCTCCCTTTGCCTGGTATAGATTCAGGCACTACCTCTACTCAGAGTGTTCCTCTCAATATCTCTTCTTCTTTGATCTTGACAGCCAATCAGGGTGTGAACTGCAAAAAAGTGCAGGTTTTTTTTTGGGAGCCACTGCAGCCACTGCAGCGACTGCAGCCACTGCAAGCTTTTGTTGCAGGTCTGAGTACTGCTACGGCCAACCATTGCCCCCTCCTTTAGGTGTCGACAAGAAGGCACCATAGCTGCCCCCTCGATGCGATGGCAAAACCAGAGGAGTCTCTCGGATCGGGAAAATGAGGACTCACTTTCGATTATCCCACACTGCTGCAGCGGATCATGCTGCACTTATGGGCACAAACGTCGAGCCCCAAGTCTCTAGTTACTTGGAGACTAAGGCTGCAGAGCGGGCAGCTTTCAGATTGACTTTGACAACTGGCTGCAGGTCACACCTGCATTTACAATAGAAACTTACTGAACAATACACGTATAAGCAAGCCGCTTTGAAAGCTATGCAAAAAATGTTCAAAGTTCAAACTGTAGTGCAAGTGGTGGACAGGAACCATGCATGAACTGTTTGATGAAGCTTTGTGGCTCTTTGCGACAACCGGCACCAATCTGACTGCTGATAGTTGTTTGGATGCAGTCCGGGCTATTGTCGCTTTTCACACTGTGCGGCGGCTAGGGACCCAAAAGTTCACAAACTAGCAAGTTTTTTTTAGGGAAGTCATTGAGCTTGAAGCCATTGACTTCACTCGACCATCGACTAGGCGCACTACTAAGAAGGCTTATGCGCCAAGAAGGTCTAGAGGCAGCCATCATTTTGCTGCGCACAATACGGTGGGGTCTGGTGAGCAAGTGAGGACTTCTCTGCTCTAGATGACGATCCAGAGACGGACTCCAATGCAAGCTGTTCTTCATTGACCTTGGGTTCCGATGCAATTGAAGAAGAAAAACTTAATGCCTTTAAAAAGACTGCAGCAACTAATAAAGGGCCAGTCCAAAAGAGTCAACCCCCTCTCCCTCAAGGGGCTCGCATCCCTGCACACCTAGGGGACGAGTCCAAACCTAGGAAATAACTTTAGATCAGTAAGGAAGTATGGTGGGCAAGAATGAGCACCAATGCCTGCCTACAAAAAAATCCAAAAGAAAGAATCACTTTGTTAAGGCATGCTTCCGTCTGAAGGGAAACCAGTGAGAGGCTTAGAGAAGATGTCAGCACTCTCTAGCACATTGAAAGGTGAGCCATCAGGTGAAGGTTCTACAAAGGAGCCTGAATCTTATCTGCAACGTAACTATGAAAGGCTTGGGCCTAAACCAATTCTATATGAGGAGCGTTGGTAGGAGTCTGCTAAGGTGGACTTCCACTACTACAAGGAGCATTGGGCTACACTTTGGCAAGGCCGGGCTCATGGACGAGCGGAATTAATCTACTTGAACTCCTCATAAACTGCACAGGCAAATTGATGACATGCTTGCTAAAGGATGGATCCGGCCTAGAGAGTCTAAAATTTGGAGCATGGAGGAAAAGGGAAGAACAGGGAAGAAGAAGGAAGAAGAAGAAGGTAAGGAGGAGAGTGAAGGAGGAGACACACCTTAGCTATGGTGGGCTTGCACCTTCATCATCTTGGTTGATGCTGCGCCAGGAAGGCCCCAAAGTGGGGTGAGGATGGCAGTAGTAGAGAGGAAGAGGACATAGAGCATTTGCGTTTTTGTTTGAACATCCAAGGTCAATATGGATGCTCTGCCATAGCTGCTGGCCATCCCGAAGATAGTAGGAGGTGCAAGAGAGTCAAGTGAGCTCCTTTGACATGCCGGCAGTAAGGAGATTCATCGGACATTGTTCTCTGCTCATTTGTTCATTTGTTATTGTAGTTAATTGATTAACAAAGTTTCAGGACCTGCTAATCCGTAAACGGACATGGTGAACCTTGCAATGCTTTATCTGCAGGTTTCGTAAATTATACTATTTTGTACTAGACTGACAGAGCGTACATGTAATTCATGCCCTGCAGTCTCTTGGAGGGAGGACTGTGGAATGAAGTTTGTTTTGTGTTTGTTTAACAACACACCATGGCTACGCCGGACCCGGACCCGGACATTTCCGGACATGGAACCGGACCCGTGCCCGGCAGTTTCCGGACGTCCGGAATTCCGGACCTCCGGACATGGGGGGATCCGGACGGTCCGGATGTCTGGACACGTCCGGAAATGTCCGGACCATTAAAAAAAATTACAAATAAAAAAATCTGAAAGAAAAGTATGTTATGCAGAATAACAATACAAACCACTTTCCTCAGAGTCATGTCAGAATTCCTAACCAAACTTGAGTTAAAAAGTCAAAAACTATAAAAAGCTTAAAAAAAGACTTTAAAAAGTAATAAAAACTAATAAAAGGTAATGAATTATTAATAATTAAAAAATTGGGCTTGTCTAATAAATTACTATAGAGAGAGAGCATGTCTGGACCCCCCAAAAAAGCATAAACGGGCCTGAAAAACCCCCAAAACAATTTTGGGGGCTTGGCTCCTCAATGGGGAAGGGTCCTGGACCGTTTTTTTTTTAATGTGGAGAGGAGGACAATTCTTACCAAAGAACGTGCGATATAGAGTCCAAGTCCAGTTCCGCCATGCCTGAAGAACAGTTCAGCATCACTTGGATTAGTGTACAATCTTGGATTACGTGGACGATTAAGAATTAAAAATCAAACATAGACAAGGCAGGAGCTGCAAGACTGGGAAGCATGGAGAATGAAAGGGGCAAGAATGAGAGCACAAAATACAGAATGGGATAAGGGTGAAAGAATGACCAGATACTTCTTCCAGAAAATCAAAGCTCAAGGAGGAAATTTGGTATGCCACAATGATATGGTTTCCCCCTCACAGTTCTTAACAGTCCTCAAGGAGGAGAGCAACAAGGCTCACATAATAAGTAGGTAGTACGGATTGTCCTGGGCAAGGTTGGCCCTGACGTAGCTCACCTTCTCGTGGTTGATGCATCCCCCTGAACGAAGTCCTGAAAGATCTTCTCCCTCAGCTCAGGTGGCACACCTGGCCCTGTGTCTTCCACCTCAAATGCAAGAACAACAGTGTGCGGACCATCTACATGCTCCTTAAGCAAACATTTGTGCTGACGATCTTTCGCAGCATGGGATCCCAAGAGATCAAGCACAGAGTGTCCTCTGTTCATTTCTGTGGTTGAAATGTCCTGAGTGGTTCCCTCACCCGCATCTGATTCATCACTGTGTTTTACCCTTGAGATAAAACATCCGAAGTGATCTCTCAATAGTGAGAAAGTGAACCGATTCCTTGATAATGTCTGCTTGTTCAACCTCTGTGGACATTGCCTTTGCCAGCAAGGCCACTGGTGACAGCCCCGTTGCCTATCTGGGAATGTGTGGTCTGCAGACGCTGTGCCCGCTGCACATTCCGATCCTGCCGTCCAGTGAGAATTATGCCAAGGCTTGATTTCTTGCACCCAGCCACGGATTGCAACAAATCCTGTGGCGGTAAACTTGATGGCATTTCCAATCAGATTTGAGAAGATCTGGAGAACACGTGCTTGGTCACCTCTCACTATTTCTGGAAGATCATCTGCCACAATTCCAGACAAAGATGATAAAGTCAGATAAACACATTACCCACCAACTGCAAGCAGCTCAGTGATATTGCAATCTATCACAGGGAAAGTTAGATTACCAGATAGACTCTCAGAGCAGACGGCATGCCATCAACTCTGTTCTCTGAGATGATTGTAAAAATGAACAGGCATGCCATATTTTGTAATGGAGTGAGATATATCATGTCGTCAAGCTCACATGTTTCACTTTCAGCCCAGTAAATGACGTGCCAATGACATGTGCCCACCTGATCCATGAGTGAGATTGTTTGTGTATGTGCGTGACAACAGTTACCGGCTGACGGGTGTCAGACTTTGTCTGTGGGGGGGGGCGGATGTGCATATATATAAGAGAGAGAGAGAGAGAGAGAGAGAGAGAGAGAGAGAGAGAGAGAGAGAGAGAGAGAGA